TGTATAGCTTTCCTTCAGCTCTTTGAGTGACAAGTTCAATCAGCTCATTCACTTTCTGACATAACTCTACCCTACTGGAGCTACATAGGATAGAGCCCAGCATATTTCCCAGCCAGAGATGCCTACCCATATCGATGGGGGGTGGGGTAGAGGGAGTGTCTCTAAACACCTTAAATAGATACACCCAAGTTGAGAAGTAGGCTTGGACCAGACACAAAACTTGGAAACTAAATTTTAATTTGGGAATGGGCAGTAGATATTAATACCCTGGACCTGAAGATCATTAGCTCTCAAATTAAGGAGTTCAGTAGTTCTCAAACTTTAGCCTGCATCAAAATCAGTTAGAGGGCTTGTTAGAACACAGACTGATGAGACCCACACACCTGTGGTATCTGACTCTGCAGGTTCAGGGTTGGGCCTTGCATACATTATCTGTAACAGTTCCCCAGTGATGTTGATGCTGCTGGTCCAGGAGCCACACTTAAGAACTTTAGATTATATCTAGGGTCCCCCTTCCTGTTCCATTATTCTGTAGTTAGTAAATTATTCTGTAATTTAAGGTGTGTAAGACCTTAAAACAACAACAAAACCCCTCTAAGGGGAGGGAGGCACATTCAGATAACTGGTTCTCTGTACATATCTTTCTTGGGGGGCAGAGTACTACATAATTATGTTATAATAGAGGGAAAGTCGAGCTATCATGAGGAAAATGGATAAGACAAAAAGCTACAGAAACTATTCTTCTAAATACCAAGAGGAAAAAAGCTGAGGCAAAATTCTCTTAGGCTACAGCGAAATCTCAGCTAAAAAGGTTAGCAATGATGATGGGAGCACCCTTCAAGTTTCTAAACTACAGTGAATCACAGTAAAACTGTATCCCAAATTACTACTACATGTCAACATTATTAAAGTGTTGTTTCAATCATCCTACATAAACCATTTTTGTTTAAGTCCTGCCTCTGTGTCAGAAGCTCTAAGAAAGCTCTCAGTCATTAATTTTGGAGCTACACAGATTCTTTTGGGGCTTTTTAGGAAATTCAGATTTAACAACAATTGGACTAGTGAGTAATAAATGGCATGTGGCCTTCCCCGGATACACCTGGCAGTGAAGCCAAAACACCACCAGTCCTCCCCATACAGAGCTCAGGGGCTTACGCAGCTAAGTTATGCCACATATAACGACCAGATCCTCATCTCATCCCAAACTGCAGCTGCTCTCCATGTGTCTCCCAGGTGACACCCTCTTCCCAGGTGAAGAGACTACATTTACTGAACAGGGAGACCAGCCCACTCTGGGTATCTCTGTCAGTCCAGGTCTCCCCACAACACAAGAGGGGCAGTCATTACCATGGTTACTATGGAGCTTCTAGAGCAGCAGCTATCAACCAGGGCTACCGATCAGAATTTTCTGTGAATTTCACAAATGGAATCTCTAGGGAGAGACGCAGGCACTATAGAGTCTGCAAGGGCTTGGGCCCACCCACCCCCTCCACCCCTTAAGATCCTTGGATGATTCAGATGTGTACTACTGAGATCTAGACACACTGTCCGATCAAATTTTCTGTGACAGGTGACTATTAAGTACTTGAAATATAGCTAGTGTGACTGAAGAACTCGATTATTTTTATTTACTTTTAATTAAATTCATATAACCACATGTGGCTAGTGACTATCATATTGGACTCCACAGTTCTAGAGCAATGCCCACAAATCATTTTCATCTTTCCCTGTCCAACAATAGCTACAAACTCCCTGTCTACATCCTGGACACTATCACATAGAAAGAGCAAAGAATGTAGTACATCTACAGACTTGGGTTCAAATCCTAACTCTACCACTGTCTGACCTTGAACACAAGCCCATCTAAACAGTGACTTTTTCATCTAAAACGCACACAACACACTACACACAGTGCCTGGTATTTAAATGCCCAATAAATAGTAGCCATTATCAATAATGACAAATAGTGCTTCTGCCTGGCTCCAAAGCCCTGCACAACGTACTCCAGTTCTACACATTTTTTCATCCTCACCCCAAAATTCCCCACACAGATACAAGCCCGGCTCCACGCAATGGTACCCTGCCCTGCCCTCCTGTCCACAATGGATTCCACTAGCAGAAACCCAACCCTTCAACATGAAGCCACTTCCCATTCTTCCGCACAGTCTGATCTGTCACGTTTCTAAACATCCTATGGCAAATTCCGTCAGAATCCTAAGATATGGCACTTAGTTGTCTAATTAACTGACTGCATCTCTCAAGACTACGTTGTAGGAAGCCAGAGATCGGGTGTTTTACCTTCAGAGTCGTCCCCCACCCTGCCCCACCACCACAGACCCCAAGTGCAGAGCTAGGGCAGTATAATTTCACTGTGCCAGGCTGCCCTACTGTAAGAAGTAGGCAGGGGCTACTCTGGGGACAAAGTCCAGATCAAACCCTCGAACCGTAGGGTCAGGGGCATACCCTGAACCAGGTTATGACTTTGAGGGAAGAAAAAAAATGTGGATTGAACTGGAAGAAAAAAAGAGGGCAGGGTAGAACAAACAGCTAAGGGGAAACAAGCATACTTCTGAGAAGAATCTTACGCACCATCCTACACCAGAGAGGTCTTCAAAATTGCAAAGGCATCCCCAAACCCACTCCTTAAAAACAAAAGGCTAAAGGCCAGTTAGTTACCTTTTCCTCCCTCATATCTAGGGTCCTGCACCCCCAACGGAGGACACCTACTTAGCAAAGGCTAGTTAATAAGCATTTCAAGGATCTCTCCATCAACTTTAGGAAATCTTTGCAGTCCAAAAATAAATGCAAATCAAAGAAATTCTTATTCTAAAAATAAAACTAAGACATTTCCCTTTCCTGGACATCAGACTTCTGACCTCCTCTCTTCACCAAAGAGTTCTAATCAACAGAATATTCAGTTTAGCAAACTAAAATATATTCAGTTCAAACAATCTGATTACTCCGATCTCCTGTCCAAGTTAAACATTTGCTCATATCAAAAGGGGAGGTAAGTCGGGACCTAACTCATACTTGTGACATTTAAAACCATTGTGAAAGATTTGTGATTTGCAGTTATAGATGAAATGCCATCTTCCAATCTCTCATAACAGAAAAGGGGCTTTAAATCATCACTAATCAGTTTTACTGGAAAAGAGCAATCTCAGGCCAGAAAAATCCCTACTACATGCAAGACAGAAAAGCCAGTATCAGCAGTCTGCAGACACCAAGAAAGAGGCAGGGGATGGGAAACACCAAATTCTGGCTGCAAAGAGCCAGAGATTCCACTCTGGGAATGATGGAGAGGAAATCCTTTCAATGGGAAACCACAGGAGTAGATTTTACTGTGATTACACTTCAAAAGCAAAGGCTCTGCCACAAAGACACATAATTGAGAGGAAAACGCTGCCCCCTTGATCAGGGAAGTCGGGCCTCTTGCTGTATATACTCTCCTGCATTCATAAAAACATAAAAATTTAAAAAGGGGGGAAAGAGGCATAAGAAAAAAAATCCACCTCCATCCACCACTTATCGCTTTCCAGATTACTGACAAACTGCCTGTCAAATAAAATGCATCAAAAGACACAGTTTAGGGGCATCAAAGCCAAGGAGGCCTAGTAGGCTAGACCTTCCTCTAGCAGGTTGTAGACTGTCCATTTGCATAGAGTCCCCCTATCCTAAGCAGAAAGAATTACATGCCCCTCCAGACCAGTGAGCTAACGGGATCCCTTACAACTTCTTATTGACCCCAAGGAAAGCCATAACAATCCTCAGGGTTGCTGGGATACAACAAACTGGACTTCAAATTCTCCAACTTCTGACCATGACCGATAGAGAAGAGAGCAGAGAAGCCCCCCGCCCTCCCCTGCCTCCTGTCAAACTTCCAGGCAGAAAGATTCTATTCACCAAAATGTATCACACCATGTTGCAGTGGCACCAAGAAAGACAAACTCAATGTTCTTGAAATGAAAGTCCGACTGAGCAAAGCTCCAGGCTTTGGTCTCAATCCAAAGACACAGAAAGGACGTGACCAGGCAGCAACCGTAAGGAGCCAGATTTGGTATCCCAAGACTGGCAAGAACAAGAGGGGAGATGGATGGGCCGGGGCTGCGGAGACGGTGTCCATCAGAAAGCAGAAGTCTTGCCTCCCATTTGTTCTGTCATCCTAAATGCCAACTAGACGGGGCCAGTATAAACTTAGTGCCATACCCTGGAATTTGGACATTTAAATATTATTCCTTACTCCTTGTGTTTTCAATTCATTCCTGGCCAGATTTGTTGTATGACTTTTAATAATAACAATAAAAAAAAAAGCATCCCTGGCTCTTTAACCGAAAGAACCCCCTAATTGATTCCCACAGTAATTAACCTGCATTTTACCTCAGAGAGCGGTAGTTAAGGAAGTCGGCACTGCTATTTATAACTCATCTCAAATTGAGGGCAGACTGCCTAAAATCTAACACATCCCAGCTGTACTCCTGTTTGAACTGGGGCCAAGGGAATTTTTTAAAGCAATCTTGGCACCGAATGAATGACACCAACAGTATGAGAGCGCGAGCGGTTGTGTTGTGGTGACGTAGCACTGGAGGTGGAATGGGAGGGGGCCAGTGTACTGTGATCCCTCTCGTGCACGCCTGCTGCTCGCGAGTCCCAGTACAGTAAGCTGGGAACCGCCCACTGAGAGCCAAACACAGGAAAAGGCTTTTCCTGTGGAACGCCTTGAAGTGAGAAACACATGGCTAATCTGCATAAACGCGAAGCCACACCGCCCCTGCCAGGAAGGTTAGTGCTCGTAATCTCTGGCCATGAAGCTGGCTGCCTGGGAGGACTTGGACTGGCGCCTGATAACCCAGAAAGAGCCGAGAGAGAACAGATGGGTAAGGACCCCGGCAGAAAACAGCCCCGGGTCACGTGACTCGCCACATGGCCCCGCCAGCACAAACTATTGTCTGGCCGCGGAGCTCCCATACAAAGGCACCCGGCCTCAGCTTCCTGTGATTACAGGGACAGGCGGCAGCTGTTGATCCAGGGACCCTCCCCTGTTGAGGAGCATTCCAGGCGGGGACAAATATAAAAGGTAAGGACTCTCCCAACCAACGCTTTCAGCTTCCCGCGAGCTCCACGTGGCTCCACTGGGATCCTACGGTGGACAGAATAGACTCCCCTAAAACGAACCACCCTTTTTACCCTGGTACACATTAGTTAACCAGAATAAGTCATTCTCATGGTGTCCCCCTCCCCAGCCACACACATCTGTATCCAAAGCCGCCTCATCCTTTTCTTACTTACTCTTCCAGTATTTCGTGGCTTTGAAAATTGTTCAAAAACCCTTACTCCAACTGAAGAGAAACTGCCCAGAAATCTGTTTAGTTCTATCCCCAGACTCTGCCTCCTAAAATAAAGAGACTTCCTTCATTTGGGTTTGCGTTTAAACAGGTTTCCTTACTGTTTATGTGACCTAGGACAATAAAACATTCCTTAACTTCCTATTGGCCTCACCAGAGTCATTAAGATTTTCTGAAGCTAAATTGAAGTTGATGATAGGATAAGAAAAATATCTCATCAGACATACCAACACCTGACCCCGGAAATCAAACCCACTCAGCCCAAGATTCTTATTATCCTTCTTAATCTCAGAATCATACCCCAAATTTTCTACTTTACAAGAGATGGGAAACAATTCATTCTAGTTCTAGTTCATTCACATTCTAAACAAACTGGTCATCTGCCTATGGGGAGAGACAAATTACCAACATCTACCACTCCGAAGAGACAGGTTTAAAAACCAAATCTTTTCAAATTCCACAAGTGTCCAAGTTGAATATAAATTAAAAACCCAGGGGTGCCTGGGTGGCTCAGTCGGTTGAGCATTTGACTTTGGCTCAGGTCATGATCTCACAGTTCATGAGTTCGAGCCCCGCGTCGGGGTCTGTGCTGACAGCTCAGAGCCTGGACCCTCCTTCGGGTTCTGTGTCTCCCTCTCTCTCTGCCTCTCCCTCGTTCATGCTCTGTCTCTCTCGGTCTCAAAAATAAACATTAAAAACAATTTTTTTTTACATCCAAACTCAATGAAAATCAACCCTATTCTGTTTACAGAAACAATTCTATTTTTTAAAATGTTTATTTATTTTTGAGAGAGAGAGACAGAGCATGAGCAAGGGAGGGGCACAGAGAGATGGGGACACAAAATCTGAAGCAGGCTCCAGGCCCTGAGCTGTCAGCACAGAGCCTGATGCAGGGCTGGAACCCACAAACAGCGAGATCATGACCTGAGCCGAAGTTGGCCACTCAACCAACTGAACCACCAAAGCGCCCCTGTTTACAGAAACAATTCTACAAGATTAGGGCATGTTCCTCTTTGCAGACTAAGCAAGAACTCATTTCAAAGACATCACTTGAAGCAGCAGCCTGACCAAACCCCTAAGAGGGGCTGCAACCAGACATCAGACTTGACCTTCCAACCCATACCTGTCTCTAAAGTGATAGAGAACAAGGTGCCTCTCTCCCTGGCTCAGAGAAATTCAGGCTACTGTGCTCCATCCTTCCAGATCAGATGAACAGAGAACGCTAACTAAGGGTAGGAAAAAAAAAAAGAGAGACCAAAGGGGTAAGAGTCATTGAATCATCTAGCAAAACTCAAACAGATTATGAGAGCCAACTGTAATAACCACCTCACAGCTGTCCACCCAAAAGAGACATGCCAGAAAAACCACAACCAGGTGGCTGGTATTTTCTTTATTTCTTCCTGGGTTCCAGAAAGAGTCCTTCAAATAATGCAGCTACAGCACCAAACTAATGAACTTATTAACAAATGATCAAGGCTTTCTCATCCAGAACACTTTCACACAGAAAATGCTCTTCTGTAAATGACAAAGATCACTTTTTTGAAAGACCAGACTTAGCTAACGAATCTCTCCCATTTCCAACGACTTACAAAAGCCTCTGAGAAAACCATACAACTTCCCTTTTTTTTTTTTTTAATTTGAGAGAGAGAGAAAGAGAGAGAGAATCCCAAACAGGCTTCACACCCATTGTGGAGCCCGATGCATGGGGCTCCATCCCACGACCGCTGGGATCATGACCTGAGCCAAAATCAGGAGTTGGACACTTAACTGACTGTGCCACCCAGGTGCCCCAAAACACTAGAAACCATACAACTTCTTGAGAAAGAATTCCTCTTTAGGTGCTGCTTCAATCTCAGGGCTCTAAAAACAGTAAGGCCTCAAGAAGATGATTAAACAGGAACTGAAATGCCATCTGACAAAATTAAACATCCCCTTCTATACAATATTTTAATCTCAAGAGTAAGGCAGCAGCACAACATGGTGAGGAGTACTAAGCTGAGAGGACACCTGGGTCCCCATCCCAGTTCTCTGACTGACTCCCTGGGGTGAGCTGGGGGTGGGGAGGGGCAAGGCACTAACCGGGTTGTACCTTAACTTCCTCAGCAACACAATGGAATCCTGCCCTCCAGATTCTGAATCAGCAGCTCTGGGACAGGGCCAAGAATCGCCTCAGGAGAGTCTCACGTCCAGTCTAGGAGCATTTGGGCTACATGCCCTCTTTCCCAAACTCCTCCCATCTCTAGCACCAAGTGACTCTAGAACGCAGATGCACATGTCCAATTTCCTTAGCCAAGAAAGGGTCTGAAGAGGGCAGTGCCTGGCCAACAGAGAAACAATCAGGAATGCACCTCAGATTCCCAGATTCCCAAATAAGCAGCATTCTCAGTCAAAGCCAAGCTTTCCTAAATTCCTATACCCGGTCCCTGGATTATCTTGTTCACCTGAACACGTATCACTAACGTACTATATACTTATCTTGTTCACCATCTGTATTCTAGACTAGAATATAAGCTCCAGGAAGGTAAAGATTTGTGTGTAAAACAAACTTTCCTACTTTAAAAGTAGGAAAACTGTCGAAGAGAAAGTGAAATTCTAGAGGCCTTGCAATTCCTAACCTTGTTCGTGCAGAGGAAATGCTTTGGCCCTGGGTGGCCAGTCCCACATAATGGTTAAGAGCTCTGCCCCTGCAATGCCTTCAACTTCTCTGTCTCTCAGTTTCTGCAACAACAGAATAGAGACAATAGTAGTAGCACCCTCAGCAATGAATGAATGAGTTGATACATTAAAACAAAACACTGTTCCTCAAACCAGCAGGATATGCTCTGGCCTCACTATCTCTCCACCAGGTACTCTTTCTTCAGGTATTAGTCTAGCTCTCTTTCACATCAAATAACACTTTAATCTGGTCTTCCCTGGTGAACCCATCTAAAATTTCAATCCTGCACACCTCTTATACCTGGTCCATGACAAATCTTTCTCCTGAGCATGTATCTCTAGAACACTCTATGGTTTACTATTTATCTTGCTTAATGTTTATATCCTAGACTAGAATATATAAGCTAGTGGGTGGGTATGTGTCTAGAAGAACTAGAGGTGGATGTGTGTTTAATTGACTGCTATATCCTCTAGCACCCAAAATGTTAGCTATTATCATCCTACACAAGTCCCAAATTTCTAGAAACGAAGCTTAGCAACCAGAACACATAAGGTCTGGTCCCCATGCATTCCAGACCAGAAACCCAAAGTGGTCAATTAGAGGTTAACTAACAATCAAATAAATTAAGGTTATGCTTTTTAAAACAGAGAAAAAAGTATAGGCTTTGACAAGTCACCTCCCTTGGCACCAGAACCATCTGTAAAACAGGGATTAAAACCTAACAAAGATATGAGACAGCTGAAGCGATTAGGTACGTGAAATGCTCGTTAAAGTACCAGTTCATAAACTATACATACAACAGACATTACTTCCCTCTCTCTACCCTCAATAAGAGGAAGAGCAGAATGGGTTGAAGGCAAAGTTTCAAAGTAAATGCTTAAGAATCAAGAACACACAAGTCAGACATCAAAAGGATTGAGGAGTCCAGTTTTCAAGCTCCATCTACTTTCAGTCTGTTCTCCCAAAGGAATTTGTTCAGTAGCTCCTCCCAAGAATCCTGACAGTAAATAAAGCCCAATAGTTTTCAACCAGGACAGTACTAAATCCCTGAGAAGTGTTTGGAAATAAATGTATCAAAGTGCCTTTTTTTGGTTATCATATCAACTCTGTGGTGCTACTGGCATTTATTACCTGGGGAGCAGGATGCCAAATGTCCTGCAATGCATCTCCACACAAAGAAGAGCCTCGATGAGAAACAATGGACTCTAGCCCATTACAAGTCCAATCTTAGATGGAGAATTTCCTGTAACACTTGACCCTGGAGCAGTGAAGGGAAAGGGAATCAGAACTGGCCAGTACCCATCCCAAGAGCCCAACATTACAAAGTCACCCAGTAGCCACGGTAATCATAAATAGAAATTTACTTTTAAAAATGGTTGGAAGATAATTTACTGAATGAATGTGGTACTTCTCCTCCAGTGCACTTATTACAATTTAATTATGGTTATTTGTGATTATTTACTTACATCTTTCCCCACTAGAAAGTACTCCATGGAGGCAGAAATTATGAATCCCATGTTCACAACACAGTGACTGATACATTGTAGAAGCTCGGGAAGTATTTGTTGAGTTACTATAAGCAATTGACAAAAGGAAGGTAGGCACTCACAGGTTTTCCAAAAAAAAGGTCTGCCATTAAGATTTATTACACTGGCAAGTCCCAACTATCGTATGCTTCAAAGTCAGTAACAGGACTGGGTAATTAAGTGAGCCAAAAAAAATGTTATTATCCCCAAAACTGAGAAACGGGGAATATGATCAAAGTCTAGGAAATCTTGATGGTGTGCAAGAAAGATCGGCTGGGATACTGCATCCCAATAAATGCCCAATAATTAAAAACAATGGGCAGATCTTGCTACCCACATAAGGTGGGATGGATTGACACCAGGAAAAGGTACTTCCTCCCACAAACCACCCTTTGGTGTTTCTAGGAGGGAAAGGACCTTATGGATGGACCACAAGCCCAACTAAGTGGTGCAGTTTTTTAGACATTTTCTGCCCTGCTCATTTGTCATTTATCATTAAGTCATATGGTACACTTAAGGAATACACGGAGAGGCAAGGGTCATGTAACCTTACAGAGATTCACCCAGGAGGATACACAGCAACTTATCTTTAAGTTTATTTATTTATTTGGGGGGGGGGGGAGTGCGCACAAGCGGGAGAGGGGCAGAGAGGGAGAGAGAGAACCCCAAGCAGTCTCCACGCTGTCAGCACAGAGCCTGATGCAGGGCTTGATTCCACTAACCGTGACATCACGTCTTGAGCCGAAATCAAGAGTCAGCCCAGCCGACTGAGCCACCCCAGCAACTTTTCAATAAAGTTCAATAAAGATAACACTTCTAAATCACACCTACTTCTGACCTAGTTTCTAAAATACTCCTCCTTCTTCCATATTAAACTGCTTTGCAGATAACTGCTCAAAAACAAACAAAAAAAGGCAAAGGCAAAAACTGCTCCTAGTCAGAAAACTTTAAGGCCTCATT